CCACAACAGGGGGCAATATTTTCACCAAACATGCCAATAAACAGGAAGGCCAGAAAAATTTCTGAGTGCGATTTCCCACCTCTTCAAGAAGATAATTCAGAAAAGAGCATGAATGACACTGCACTCAAGAGCTGTCAGCACCATTCTTAGCAGAATTAAAAAAACACAACCCTTTGCATCTCAGTGTAAGTGTAAAACCAGCAGATATAAACAAAAGCATTCATAAATCAAGCCCATTTGAAATATAAGTACCTTGGAGGGTGTCACAGTTACACCAGCTGATACCTTTAGGGTGTCGAGGAGGGAACAGGATGTAGAAAATCTCTGTGTACGTTGCAGGTGACTGTAACATTTTCCTGCAGCAGTCCTGGATAGGGCTGTGTGCACAGCCTGGAGCACAGTGGCACCTGTGAGCACAGCCACGTGCCACAGCCTGGCCACGTGTGATGGCCAAGACAACCTTTGCAGTGTGAGCTAAGAAAACATCCCCATTATACATTTAGGCACATCATGTTCCTTTCGGAGATGGCTGCATCTTGTTTAAAACCTAAAGGAACACAAGAACTGCTTGAATGGGTCAGTCAGGACCAGAGTGTGTGGTTCGTGGGAAAAATGAGAACCTACAGTGGGTTGTCATTCCCTGCTGTAGAGCAGTCACTCAAAGAAACCTCGTTGGACCCACCGCCATCCACACACACACCACGAGGAAGCTCAAGGTTCTCCAGCAGAAACTGCTGTTCTTGGCCAGGGTCACTAGATCTCCAGTAGATGAGGTTTTAAGGAAATTTTCTCATGCCTTGGAACAGAAAGCCACAAATCATTTGCTTGATCAAATTTATTTTAATCCAATTGGGTCTTTGCCTGAGCAAAGGTCAAGAATAAACTTTTTAAATCTAACTGGTTTGGCCAGTTTGAGAGATATCTAGCCAGAGCCTCAGAGAGGGTGTATAGCAATAACTCAATGAATCAGAGATATGCTGATTTAAATGTCTGTCTCTGGTGGTTTTCCTTGTGAAATTGAGATTTGTAGGTTTTCAAATTCCCATAATCACATGCCTGATGTCACAGATCATCTTGATTCAAAATGTGTTTGAAAAAGCTGCTGCATTAAATCTTAAAACTCATCCATGTTTCTCTTCAGCTTAAAGTAAGCATTTATGCATTAATAGTGTGATAAATAATGTGTTAAGAAAACAAACAAATATCACATTGACTGCATCGCAAATCATTCCTGCATCACTTCTCTCTTGTCCTGGTGTGGAGGAGACTCACTGCCTTCCCATACAGTGTATGTCCAGACAAGTGATGGGGTGAACCACAGGACAAAAAAGAATTATTAGTAGGTGCAGTGCTTTAAAAGGTGTGTTCTCACCTTGGTTTGTCTACCCAAGTTGAAAAACAGGTATAATTTGGATCTGAACACAGATGTGACATCCAACACTATGGCCATCTACCCACACTCTCCATCCTGAGAGCACCTTTCTTTTGTGCCATGGATACAAGTTCTTCTGGATTACATTTCTCCTCAGTTCTTTCTTTCTCTCTCCTCCATGTTTCCGTCTCCTTCCTGACATCCATCTCTTTCTTCATATTGATTTCAAGACTCTTTTCTTTTTTCTTTTCCCCTTTCCCCCCCTTCTCCTCACTAACCACATTTGGTCACCCAGACCCATTTAACAGAGTACTGTGGAGAGCAGACTCTGCCTTGGGCAGTGCAAGGAGCAACGTGTGAAACTCTCTGCAGCAACAGAGGAATCATCTCACAGTGGTCACACAACTCTCACTGCCTCCTTGGCACTGGCAACCAATGGGAGCACCAGGATTTGTATCCTGCTCTGAGAAAAAGCAGGGCAAGTATTAGGCAAACTAATCACGCTGTAGGGATTTGTGTAACAAAAAGTACCTCTGCTTTGGGGTCAGAAATTATGTGAATCAACCACACACCATCTCATGGGGCAAATTCACCTGGTATGTCCATATTCTCTTCTGTCATATTCATTATTGGGGCGTCCCCATATCCAGGAAGAGATAACAGAACTGGGCTGCCCCATGATTAGGGCACACGGTCTGTCTCAGGGTATTCTTTCCAAGACTGCTGGAAAACAAACTGCTTTACAGAGGGTTGGTCCCCCCCCCGTGCCGTGCAGCCCTGTCTGTGCCTGGGGCCTCGACATGCTCCCTAATGCAAACAGTGGTAATGCAGACTTAATGATCGCTGTCATTTCCATGTGCCTACTGCTGATCTCTTAATGAAATATTCCAGTTAAATTGCACTGGCACAAGCACAGTTCCGTGCTGGCAGGAGCTGCAAAATCGGTCAGCCCAGTGAAAAGGTTCTGCAGGAGCCACCGTACAATAGGGAAGTCGTTGGTGAAATGCTGTTGGGACAGTTTTTGTGCCTGCTCCTGCAATAAGCATGACACCTTCCTGGATTTCTGAAGGAAAAGAAGAGAACAGAGGACAGAAATTGCCTTTATCTCAGGTTGGGACACAGAACAAAAATGAGGATGACAGTCTGTGGTGATATGGATTTGGCATTCACTGATGGGTGATTGGTATCCACTCAGCACTGCTCTAACAGGATCACTCCCTGCTGTCAAATCCTTCTAGGAGCACTGCTGCAGAAGAGAAAAAATTGGGAACATGCAGCACCACACAGACTTTCTGTTTACCTATTGTCACAAGCAGGAAACCAAATATTGGGGGGAAAAGAGCTAAAAAATCTGTTCAAAGAACAAATGTGTGTTGTAGGAAACAGAAGAGTAAAAGTCCTGAAAAGTGGAGTGTTTTTAAATTTGAGCATACTATATGACCAGTCTAAAATAAAGACAAATGGATAACATATACGTTCTTCACTATTCCAGAGATGAAGGAAAGCACTGAACTTACATCTCTTTAAGCCACCAGCTCTGGGAAGTATTGCATGGCATAAGCAGAGGTCTCTAAATTTCACCTTTACTTTGGCCTTGCATAGCTCCCCCCTTCCCCAGCCTCCTCCAAGCACTGCTCACATGCAAGCAGTCACTGGCTGGCCACTGTTGGGTCCCAGGAGCTGCTGTAGGAGCTGGGAGCACCACATAAAATCCAGGAATTCACACAGTCCATCTGGGTCACAGTAGCCACTCCATCCTTATACTTGCTCTCTCAAGGTGAGGAAATGCTGAAGCTGCTGGTGACTTAGTGGTTGACTGACAGAAATACTTTTCTCTTAATAAAAGTGTATTTTCAGAGCATATTTTGAAGTCAACTAGTAAGAAAGTAACGCAAGGGGAGCTGTGATTTAGTCCAGCTACTCTACCAAGTCCTCCTATAATTTCCTTGATGACTCAGTGTCCTGTCCTACACATGTTCACAGTAGCTAACACTAAAAACTGCTTCAAGCAGGACAGAAATCAGCCCTACTGGTAATGATCCACTAGTAACGGTTGAGAGGGGCATCATCTTTCCTGTTCTATCTGTACCAGGCAAAAGAGGGAGGCCATTTCCTTCAGGGAACCAGGGCTGACACAGGAAGAAGGGAACAATGCCCGAGATTTGCATTTGCTGAAGGGCTCAGTACATTGCTCCCTTGTGAGCCAGCCAAGACCGTCACTACATGAATCCTTGTGATTCATCCTCCCCCCTGATCTACCTCTCTGTATCCAGCATGGCACAGAGAACTCTGTGTGTTTATTTATACACAAAAAGGTCTTTACTTGCTACTGTAGTATTTGGGTGCTTGGCTCAGGCTCCCAAGCCGGAGGGGGGGTACAGACTGATCTGGTGAATCAGTGTTTTCTACTTTCCTGCCAGACTGCTGAGTGACCTTGGGCAGTTCACAGCAGCTTCACCTCTCACCACCTCAGTTTTTGTAAAATTATCCTGCTTAACTTTGAACAGCACGTAGCTATTGACTGATGCAGGGTAAGGGTATATTGCCTATGTGTGACTCAAATAAAGCCAGTGCCTACAATCTGGAATCAGCAAGGTAGAGAAATTGAGAGAGAAAAAAGCAGAAATGTGAAATTGTTCCTCTGCCTCAGCTTTTCTCGTCCTGATGCCCGCCTAAATGCAGGCAATTACAGCCCAATCCCACCATCCGATTTACTCCATGTCAGCCGCGCTGAGAAGTTCAGGTAACCCCCCAAGGCATCATAAATGACAGATAAATAAGCCCATGCATATTAGGAAGAGTCTGTCTAAAGGTTACAGTTCTGCTGTGCTGAAGAGTGCACGTTTCAGGGCAGATGCTTCCTTTTGGAAGGCTCTGGATATGGAAACCTGGCAAGAAGGGCAGGGTTCTGCCTGCGCTGAGGAAGGGCACACACAGGTCACTCCTCGCTGGTGACTCTATGTTGGCTGTACCTGCCCAGATTTTTGTCACAGTTTACGTGAAAGCACAACCCAGGGATGCACAACACGGCGCGGCTGCTGGTCATGGATGTGTCACACAGATGGGCTCTAACCGGTTGAAAAGGCCCGTGTGTGTGCTGTGTGCCCGCTCTGCCCTGCGCTCTGTCCTGCCGTCACGTCACCTGAGCACGTAGAGCTGCGGCCATGTGTGTGTCCCCCCGAGCGCTCACGGCGGCGATGTGTGCCCGGCTGTACCTGCGGAGCGAGGGTGTGTGAACGCGTGTGTGGCTATCGGTGTGCGTGCGAGTGTCCGAGCGCGCCGTGCGGCTGTGCTCTTCTGCCCCGGGTGCCGAGCAGCGCCCCGGGGTCGGGGGGGTGCGCTGTCCCCGGGGTACGCCCGGTCTCGCCGAGCAGACGGAGCTCGACGCCGCCGAACCGGCCCGGCTCAAACCGGGCAGAGCCGCGCCGTGCCGGGCGAGCTCATCCCCCCCGGGCCGATCCGATCCGATGCGATGCGCGCCGTGGCGGGAGGGCGGGGCGGTGGGAGGGGGCTGTCCGCGGGGCCGTGGCGCGGCGGAGCGGCGGGCGCAGAGCGCGGCGGACACCGCACCCCGCACGGCGCTGCCCGGGGCCGGGCGCTCCATGAGCCGCCGCGGGGCGGGTCGGCGCTGCGCTCGCTCCCCGCCGCGGGGCCGCCGCGCCGCCGGGGCCGGGATGTGACTTGCGGCGGGCTGGCGGACAGAGCTGCCCCGCCGCCCTCGGCCGCGGCAAGACAGCGGGTGAGCCGGCGGCGGGCGGGGGGGACACCGGAGCCGGGTCCGGGGCGCTGCCCCCGGGGCAGCGCTGCGGGCTGGGGAGGGGGGGGGGGGGGGGGGGGGGGGGGAGGCACAGCGGAGCCGCTCGCCCGGCTCTGCGCCCTGCGCTGCCCACAGAATTAGCCCGGTGGCCGCCAGCAGACAACAGGCTGGATATAGGAGTCCAGGGGAGATTAGACGGGATATAGGGCAGGATGAGGGGGGGGCTGGAGCAAGGGGCTGCGCTGCGCGGCGGGGAGCAGGGCGGAAAGCTGGCGAGGAGGATAGTGGAGTTGGGAGAGTGGGGACAGGCGGGGGAGGGAGAGACGGGGAAAAGAAACCGAAGAGAGAAATGAGCGAAGGGACAAAAGAGAGGAGGCTGGAGCGGGGTAGGCATCGTCCGGGGAGGAGGAGGAGGAGGCGGAGGTTGCAGGCGGATTAAGGGGAGCCCGGAGAGGCAGCGGCGGAGCGGCCGCACGGAGGGGCTTCTCGGCCTCGCACCGCACTCGCGGGGGAGTTGCAGCCCAGCCCGGCACTTCATCGCATTCCCCAGCGGGAGCTCAAGGGCAGGAGTAGCGGGGTACAGGCCGAGGGGGAAGAGCCTTCTGTTGGCCCCTCGCCGCCACTGTCCGGTCCCGGGGTCGGCGGGAGCCCCGGCTGGGCGCGGGTGCGGAGCAGTTTTCTCTCTAGTTAATAAAAGCCCTGTCTCCGTGTTACCTCTCCGCGAAGCCACGCAGTGATTGGATTTAGCACTTATGTGAACCCTTTGTTTACACCTGCCCTAATGTTTATCCCAAGGCTAACAGGATTTCCTGCGCGCTGAACCCAAACACCCAGGTTGGTGCTCAGCGCTAGCACGGAGTGCGTTTATCGGGGATACGCTTGCTGCTTTACCAGCAGGGAATATCGGGGTTGAGGTGTCCTCTCGCTGCATCAGGAGAAATCAGGTGACAGAACCCATCTGTTAGAAGGCTGTGAAATGAATAGAAACAGTCTGAGAATTAGCAAAGAAAATAAAAACATTAATTACTGCCATTGATTGCTATCCGTCGTGAAATCTACACTAGGCACTATGGTCAGGAGTATCCAGGCACAGGCGATTCACAGAATCTGACCGAAGGGAATTGTGAGCACCTAGAACATTAGCAAGATCATTTCATATTATCTTCAGCATTGCAAAATGTTTCTAAATGAAAACAGCACTTATTCTACGTGTCGTTTTTGGAGTGGGGTCTTGCTTTCTGTAACCGTGAGGCTCTACAGAGCACGATGTGTGTCTAATGCAGGGGCTGTCAAAATCACTGCTGTATTTTTGCCTACAAAGCACAATTGCACTATTAATTATTATTCTGGAAAAACACACATCTCTTGAGTAGTCTGATCTCAACTTGGCTGTTGCTGCTCTGTTATCAGTCCTGAAGCTCATTCTTCTGATCTGATCAAAAGCAGCTGGCAGAGATCCCGTGTTGTGATTAATTCCTCACTCACTAGCGTATCTCCACAACACTTCATGGTGGGGGCGGTTTTCTTTTGGAAATTGCACAGTGAACCAGTGTTGTGTCTGTGTGGCAGGCAGGTTACTATTTGTGCTACTATTGCTTATATTTACTAGATTGTTTTTCTTCTCTGTGATTGGATGCGTCTTCCTGTGTCTGTTGACTAGCACTGGGATATGGGAACAGGTAAAACATCTAACCATGAATAGCCTAACCCTAAATCTTCACACGATTACAGATTTGTTCTCTATACATATTGTGTAGCAGCATACAGGAATATCTTTTTGACCACGCATTTGCAAGCTTTGATCAGAAGACTTTAGTTATGGAAAGCCTCATTGATTTTTAACCATGACAACTTTTTGATGACAACTGTGAGATTTTCTGTTTCTGCTTAGTTGCTTGTAATTGTACTTCATACCTGCTGGGGCAGCTTTGTGTCTGCAATTTCTGTAGTGATTCTACGCCAGATAATGTAATGTAGGGGACTGCACTCGGTGGAGTTATTACAGCTGTCATTGAGACCTGTCCTGCTAATTGTTTGCTGCTTTTGCCTGAAATGTATAAGGCTCATTGATTCATTTAAAGTGCCTTTGGTTGCTCGAGGTTTAGGGATTTTACCTTAATAGCTTTACCGAAATAAAATTTTAGAGAGGGATCAGGGAGAGGAGGGGGAAGGGAAGGGGATGGAAATCTCAAGTTGATTTCCTTCTGTATGAACAGTTCATTCAGCTATGTGGGGGCTGTATCGGTGCCACTTACTGTATCTGTGCTGGAATGTTTCTGTGGCATTCCTGTATTACAATTGCTGTAGTTCTCTGGCAATAGAAACGAAGTGCCAGCCAAAAAGAGTGCTATTGTTACTACCGTGAGGTTGCATAACTGTGGTAAGAGCTAATCTAAACATAAAGAGGTAAAAATACTCCTCCTCTACAGTAACTGATTTAGGTAACCACCAGCAAGAATGTGCATACAGATTTTACTACAAAATTTCAAGAGACACAGGACTCTGCCATCCTACACACTGCCCAGGCTTGAGGAAGACACTATTTGAATACAACACCCATATTGATAGATTTCTTTTTTTCCAAAGTAACTTTTCTGGAAAAAAAAAACTTCATAGTTTTCCCTTCAAATTATTTAGTCTGTTGTTTTAGCTGAAGTTGTGGTATTCCCTTCCAAAACTTGTATGTCGTAATGCTGTGTTTTCCCTTGTTTTTACAACTGTCTGTGTTCAGTGCTGAGCACCAATGCTAGAAAGGGGTTTTTTTTATTGGTGTCATCACGGGGGGTTGATCATTATTGCCAGTTTTTACCCAGTCAGGCAGAAATACCTGGTAAACAGGTTGGAAACAAACTACTTTATTCATACCAGTGGGGAGGAAAAGATTTCTCCTTCTGAGACTTCAAGCCCTGCTTGCAAGCTTTGGTCCAGGCAGGTTCAGTGGGACTTACTGACATTTGGTAGGAAATGATTTCACACCAGGAGTACCTGTCAGCACTCCTAGAGGTTTCTTGGTCAGTGCTATAGCAGTCCAGAACCAAAGAGGACCATTGTTTATCTCCATCAACTTTCCCAAAAGTAATTTCACAGTTGGAAGTAACTTGAGAAAACTCCTTGAGTTGAACATCTCTGCATTTCAAAATACATTTTTATCTGAATTCTCAATATGTTTTGTCACAGCTTAATTTCCCTTTTCCAAAAGGGGAAATTTTCGTGGAGGGGGAAATACTCAAAATCATTAACCCTCCCTCCCCCCCACCCAAACACTTCCAGATAGGAAGAGGAAACAAATGATGGGCTGACAATATGACTGCTTACCCATGCAGCACAATCTCCATGGAAACAGACTGTCCTAGAATAGCTCAATCACATGAGAGTTACATGACATGAATAAAGTAACCAGAAAAATGGAAAATATATTAGAACTGGGGAGACTTGCACTTAATTCATCACCCCCCAGGTTTTTGGAGAGTAGCTAGTGAACAAAGCTAGTATTGAAAGCAATTTAGTCCATGCTTATCATAATTTGTAAGTGATGGGATAGTGGAAAATTAACATGACCCTCACTTAAGGGCTGTTTATTGTTTCCAGTTTGGGTGACATTTAGAATGAATTTTGAATCATTTTCCACATGACCTCCTCCTCCTCGAAATAGTACCATGGTTTGCAGCATTGCCTTAGTAGGTCCCAGTGGATTGCCTCTCCTTGTGTCAGCAGGCACTGACCATTTCACACTTTTTAGGACATTTCAGATACTCTAGAGTAAATTCGCCAGTTGAAGAAGGAGTTGCAGAACTACCTTCAGAATGTTTCCTTCTAGTTAATGATGTACTCATGAGGCAAGGAGATTTATTGAGTGTAACCATATTCAATACAAAACTGAATATATTTCACTGATGATTAGTTTTCTGCCTGTAAAGTCAGTGTTTTTAACGAGTGTTGAGACAGTCATTGAGATACCTATTTTACAAATAAGATATAAACAAGTATATGTTCTACCAATTCACCATAAAGTAAATTAAAGATATGTAGAAATCTCAAAGCATTTGTCATCAGGTGCAGGACATTGCATCATTAGAACATTGCAGCCCTTTCACCAGTGCAAAGATACGGTAATTTCTGTGGGCAAGCAGAGATTGTCGATTACACTTGTCCTGTTTGTTCAAGCCCAGATCACATTATTTGTCACAGCTCCCACTTCTGAGATGAAGGTTTGTAATAGGATGTTTTGTCTGTTGTGTGAGTGAAGACCACAGAGTCATTATGCATTTATATTAGCACATTTGCTGTCTTGGTGCCTCTAATAGGAAACATTACAATCTCCATCATCTGTCTGCTGGCAGAGGCTGAAAATGGCCATTGGTCACTATGCAGTGAAACATTAGTTTGACCACAGAGATCCTCAAGATTTAACTTTGGTCATCACACGACTGTAATGCACAGGAAGAAAATCCATAGTTCTCAGCTGTAAGAGACCCTGTACAGTTTTGTACAGTCTATGTATATAGTTTTCATGTTGGTAATGACCAGTTGTGCTCAACACAACAACACTGCACTGTTACTTTAAACCATTTTCAACTCTCATCAGAGTTTTTGAAGTTTTCATTAAATGCAGTTCTGATCTGTGAAGTATCATTGGACAGGTAACCATGTAGGGCTGTTGTCTATTGTACAAAAGGGCCATTGACAGCTTCTCTGCTTTTCGCTTGGTATCCTAAACGTGTCACATGAGCAGTGACTGGCAGTGAGTGACATGGCTGCCTGTTTATGTGGTGGGTTTGTTCGTGTGGTCACACCACACAGGTGGGAGTCTTGCTCTGAGCGCTTCCACCCTTGCACATTGCTCACATCAGTGGGCAGGATCCTGCTGGAACTGCAGCACTGACTGCAGGTGAAGGTTACCAGTGTCAGGTTTCAGAGCTGCTTCTCACAGTGTTTACTCCACTGCCCTTACGGGGCAGCTCTTGCCCAGGCACGCTGGACAGTTAAAAGTTTTATTTTTAACAATCTCCTTCGCCTTTCTTTGCTTAATATAAACAAGTGCTATAACGTATGTATTTTTAAAGCACCTAACCTGTGTTCTTCCTAAAACTAAATTGGGATTTGTCCAGGCTTTTGGTCCTGGTGGTCAAGTGGGATGTGTTGTGTTCCTGAAGAGTTTACCATTGTTTACTCTCTGAATCCGGGAATGTGATGCTCTGTTTTTTGTTATTTGTGTCCTTTGTATGGCTTTGGACTTGCTAAGAAGCACAATGAGACATTGATTTTTGACTAAGTGATTGATGACACTGCATGTGTGCACCATTGTCACAGAATATGGGATTTTTCTAGGCAACCATTCCCATTTGCAAGTGCTGTCTAATACCTGGGCTTTGGAAGAGGATGAAAGAAGTGAATATTATAACTATTTATTGACCAAGCATGAAAACAAGATTTTCTTTTTTTTTAAAAAGTACAATGTTTATTTTCCTTGGACTGATTTATCCTTTAAGTAATAATTTAAAAAAAATTTTTTTTTTTTTACTCTTCCTTTGTTCCAGTGAAAGGAACAAGGCTGTGGAACAATCTAATTTTGGTATAGTTTACACTTGCATCAGGCCCAGTGCAACTTGCACATACTTTAAGCACCTGAATTTGAATGGGGTATTAAGTTTGAACAGGTAGTAAGTATCTAAGTACTGTGTATAATGTATTATTTTGCACCAGGCTACATAATTTCTTCTGGCTGTGCTTTGGGATATTTGCAGGGGCAGAGTTTGGCAATGCTGTTCTCAATCTGTGCAAACAGAGTAATGAGTCAGTTTGCATTCTAAGTACAACAGGCAAAAGCAGCTTCTGGGAGGGCAGGGAAGGGGGCTGGGGGCAGGCTGTGCCAGGCAAATTCAGTGCGAAAACAGTAAACACGGGCTGCTGGAACGAGCTCTGCTTCCAGTTGCTGTGAAATCCTCCAAAGTGAGCTCCAGCTAAACAAATACTTTGTTGTCTCAGACAGAAAAATGAAAACCTACCCAGCCATCGGTTTCTTCCTCCTCTTCGTGATCAGCTATGGCTCTTCGGAAAACTCCAGCACGCCCAGGGGGTGCGGACTGGATCTCCTCCCTCAGTACATTTACCTGTGTGACCTGGATGCCATCTGGGGGATCGTGCTGGAGGCGGTTGCAGGGGCAGGTGTGCTGACCACACTGCTGCTGATGCTGATTTTGCTGGTGAGGCTGCCCTTCATCAAGGACAAAGAGAAGAAGAGCCCCCTGGGAATGCACTTCCTCTTTCTCTTTGGGACTCTGGGACTGTTTGGGCTGACGTTTGCTTTCATCATACAAGAAGATGAAATGGTGTGCTCCACCCGAAGGTTTCTGTGGGGAGTTATCTTTGCTTTGTGCTTCTCGTGCTTGCTAGCTCAAGCCTGGAGACTTCGCAGACTAGTTCGCCATGGGAAGAGTCCATCTGGCTGGCATCTAGCTGGGGTGGCGATCTGCCTGATGCTCGTGCAGGTCATCATCGCAACCGAGTGGTTGATACTGACAATTGTCAGAGATAACAAGCTGGCCTGCAGCTACGAGCCGATGGATTTTGCTATGGCTTCGATTTACGTTATGTTCCTGATGGTGTTTACCATGGGATTCTCGTTTTTCACTCTCTGTGGAAAGTTTAAGAAATGGAAGAAAAACGGAGTATGCCTCATTATAACCCTTTTCTTTTCCGTTCTGATTTGGGTGGCCTGGATGACTATGTACCTCTTCGGGAACGCCGAGCTACAGAGGAGAGACAAATGGAGTGACCCCACTCTGGCTATTGCACTGGTGTCCAGTGGTTGGGTGTTCGTAATTTTTCATGCCATCCCAGAGGTCCACTGTACCATCCTTCCATCACAGCAGGAAAACACTCCCAATTATTTTGATACTTCACAGCCGAGGATGCGCGAAACTGCTTTTGAGGAAGATATCCAGCTTCCTCGCAGCTACATGGAAAATAAAGCCTTTTCAATGGATGAACATAATGCAGGTAGGAATTTGCTATGGAGGACTGTATTTTTCTGTAGTAGTCAAGAAAAGTGTCTGTATGAGGCCTTTTTCAGGTGTTCAAAACAAGGGTCATTAGAAATGCCGTATTTTACATATTACATATTGTTTCCTTTTACATTAAGAAATCACCTAATGAGGGGGGGAAATGCAGAAAATGCATGTGTTAAGTTAGAATGATTCTTCTGCATGTTGTTTTTTCTTTGAAAAACTGAACAAATGCAAAGCCCTATTTTAGATTGTTTAAATGACATTTTTTGTCATTAGCAGGTAACAACATTTAATACAAAATATTTTCCCCAAACCCAAGAAAAAAAATAAAGTAAGTGGTCTGTGTTACAAAATGCTCAGCCTCTTGAGCAACAAAATAATTATGATTAATTATATTTCCATTAAAATTAATTTAGTGCCACTTCGTGTCACTGTGGGGGAAAAATGCCAAGTGGCTTATAGACGAGTTCAAAGACAGCCTTTGTTCTGAAGGCTTTCACCTCTGAGGTTTCACAGAGGTTTCGAGGTAATTTACTTTCCTTGTCACAGATGGATGCGTGAAGACACATCATTAATATTTCCAGAGAAACTGTTTTTGAGTGATTGCTGAAAGGATCAGCAACAACTGGGTGCTTAAAGGATCCAAACCATTGCTGAATGTCTAACCCGTGTCAGGAGTGCACGAGTTACTCCCTGACCAGGCAGGGGGAAGCAGGAGCCCGAGGGGGTTGTGGAGAGGGCGGGTTGTGCTCTGGTGCTGTCCCACACTTGGGTAAAGGATTTCATTACTGGTCACTCTGATTTTTGTTCACTCTAATTGAAAAGAATACTGGCCTGGTATCCCAGCCAGGAGCTGCCACGTTGCTTTGGCAGCCCCCAGAAGAAGGCTTAGGGCACATTGTCCAGGCACTTCACCTTTCCCTTTGTCTTTATGTGTCTTTGATTTCCTCTGGGTTTGATGTTTCTGCTGGGTACAGACCAGACACGGAAGAAAATAGCACTCTTGTTTGGCACAATGGCAGGTCAGGAAGGCATTTTTTCTTCAAGTTTTTTAGCAGTAACTTTAAAAGTCTCCTTCTAGTATGGAAGTTATGAACAGAAGGGAGTTAAGTTCTGTGAACAGATATCACAAAGGGCAGTGGTAAACCAAAAATCAAATGGATGAAAGAATGGTTGCTATTACTGGTGTTCCAGAACAACAGAGGCAGCTGAACTGTGGACTGTTAAAAGCACTCTTTTTCTGGGGATGTTTTTGGGTTTTTTAACTGTCCTCCATCCCCCATTACATTAATTTCATAGTAAGGTAACTGCAGTGAGCTATTTCTGACCAGGGCAGATCTAAGAACAAAATTGGATCTTTCAGTCTGTGTAATTCCAATTCATGCATGCGTTTAGAAAAAAGAACTGGAAACTCCTTTTTGATCTAATCATTCAGTAATTAAGTTTTTCAGTGAAACGGATAGATGTATGATAGCTGTAAAATCATTATAGTGTCTATTATACTGCAATTTATGTTCTGTTTTAATCTATCTGAATCTTAGTACAATACAAAATTGATTTCCTTATCTGATGCCCTTATTAATATTTATCTCAATAGATGCATGTCATTCCTAGTCCCATGGCTTGAGGGAATTTTTAATAAATCAAAACAGAGTTGCTATTCCTTTGCAGCAGTTCTTTAGGCACAGACTTGGGACAACAGTGTTTGGAGACAAAACTTATTATTATGGGAGAGACTTAATACTAAAGGAAATAATAATCAAGTCACGTATTGCAGCTGCTGAAATGTCAGTTTAAGTTGGATCACTGACATCAGCTGATGGTTGTCAGTGGTAAAGCACCTGGAGTCTATTAGCAATTGGCTCTCTGCAGGTACTTAGAGAATTTTCTCTTCTTTCATCCATTTAATTAACCTCAATTGGAGAATTCATCGTTAAGAGTTTAGAAATTAATAGAAGGGTACTTTCTTCAATTATACCTGGGAATAATGTTTAAGAGTAGAAGATCTACTTGTTGTGAAATTTTAGAAGACAAGATAAGCAGAAAACACCTCTTAGTTCCCTGACTGTAATACTTCTTTCAGTAAATAGTCAGCTTGAAATAGAAAACATGCCTGGACAAACATATTCCCCATTAATTCCTGTCATTTCCATTAATACTCATATAAGACAATTCCATAAATTTGCTCTTTTTTAAGATTTTAAGTGGCATTTTAAGAATCTGAACAACCTTTAAACTATAGGTTCAAACAAGCTTATGTCCTCCTAGTTTCCTTCCTTCTTTCTTAGCAAAGATGCAGCTTCAAGTTACACATCACAACAAGAGCTGTTCTATTCCAGGAATAACGTTAAGCATGAATAAAGCACAACTATTTTAAAGTTAGTATTTTAAATATCATTTAAACACCACACTAATCTGGGATTTTAATATTCATATACTAGGTTGAAATATCTATTTAAAAGAGTTATTTTCGTAGCTGTGTCTTTTAAAAATGTTAGTAAAGTATTTAGAAACCCTGGACAAAGGCCAGTTCTCAGTGCTTTCTGGAGGTGCAGCGCACACTAGCAGGGCAACCTCTGTAGGCAAAGAGAATTTGCCTTATACATGAAAAATCTGGATGTGAAATGTAGAATGCTACAGCTGTCAGGAAACCCAAGCCCCAGCAAGTCCAGCACTCCTTGAATTTCATTTAATAACTTCTAGTACTACAAGACACCATTTCAGCCCATGCCTAAAAGCAAAGTTAACAAAATTTAAAATAAGTGTTAAAAGGAGATTTTGACACACTTGCTCAGATCTTCTTGGCACTGCTTTTTTTTACCTATACATACCCTATGCAAGAGCATGTATTTAACGGTAATGGGAAAAGTACAAGGAAAAATGGTAAAACTGGTATGAGAAAAAAAATCCAAAATGAGTGTTTCGTCCACCAGCTTTATCACAGATTCTCATCTTTAAAAAATTTCAGATTCTTTGCAATAATAGGGAAGGGAAATTTAGCAATATGAAATTGAATTTCTTGGCTCTTTAGGATAGCTTTGAAATTAACCTTTTTATGTAAATATTTTGTGCAGATGTGTAAATATAGATAGTATGTATTATAAATTTTTATTTATATGTACTATCAAATACCAGTGCAATCATTTGTGTTTAATACACGAGATGTAGTCAAATGACAGCAGCAAAAAAGTGCTACTGACCTTGAGATGGTTAAATATAAAATAAAAAGTACTTAATTCCAGCTTAGGTATTTTCATCATTTGTTCTCTCAGTGTTCTGCAAGAATATGTAATTTTAAAATATAGAGCAAATGAGGGTCTGTGTGTCTCTGAAGTCAACAACTGAGCATTTGCAGGATGGAATTTCTAAATTTCCATGCTAAATCAATACTGTTCTTCCTCTTGGTGCACAGCTCCCAAAGAGAGGAGTAGCAGTGGATAGAGGACAGCATATGGCAGTAGGATCCATTTAAATCTTGTTCTACACAGAGCAACTGTATTAAATCCTGGCTTTATTAAAGTCTGTGCTGTAATTCTCGTAAACTTGAGCTCATTCACGATTTCAGCCAGAGAGCACAGAATTGTAATTTGAATTAAATCTAAGAGAAATTCTTGCCCCAGGTGCCTGAACTGGGCATGTTTCTATTTACCAGCTGACAGATGAGTATTGCCCGTTGTAACCACGCACATTGTGTGGATAAATGAGCTCTGTTCCCTGGCCACATCTGAACTCAGTGAAGCCATTATTTACCCCCAAAATTAAAGAGGGAGTTTGTGTGTGTCCATCCCTGGTGAAGAGAGAAAGCAGCATATCCCTCACTATGCATATCCCTCATTCAGAACCCAAACTTGTGCTAAAATTAATGGGGAGACTGATGTTTTCCTGGTATAAACATTCAGAAGGACAATCGGTATCTTCTCTTTTGCCTCAGTCATTTGCCCTGTTTAAGCTATTGGAAAGCAATATTTACTCCATCTTTCTAGTTTCTCAGAGTAAATATAATCTGAAACATCTGGAAAATCCTTATATGCTAGTCATGCTGAAGTAATGCTCAGGGGGCTGTGAGCATGCTTACTGGCTCGAGCAAGGCTTTGGATCTCTGTCCACTGAATTTGATAGAGAGCAAATTGTAATACATTTCACTTAACCCCACAGTATCCAGACCAACACAGTAAGCCCTTTGGAAAATGCACTGTGCAAGATACATTAGAGTTTCAGTGACTGAAGATATTGAGCTCCCATTGATATGAGACTAAGCAAGCTTCAAAAATTTCGTTCCATTCAATTTTTTCCTGTTCCACAGCAAACAGTTAATTTTATGTAAATCTGATTCTTCCGAGATCCATTCCCAACTACAGAACAGAAACAGCTGTTCCAAAGCAACGTGAAAACTGGCATGGCAACACGAAAGTTAAAATCAGGGGCAAAGTTCCCAATAACTAAGCTGAAAGGAAGATTCTTTGTGACTTCACAGCTTTGATTGTGTTCTAAGAGCGCTCTCTCTTTTCTGAACAGCACTAAGAACGGCAGGATTTCGAAACGGCAGTTTGGGAAGCCGACCTAGTGCTCCTTTTAGAAGCAATGTTTATCAGCCAACTGAGATGGCAGTTGTGCTAAATGGTGGGACTGTAAGTATCAAAATGTGATGATTTAAGAGATCTTTGATATGCACTGATATATACAACCACTACTAATTGAAAAACCTGCTCTTAGCTTATTCACAGCAAGAGGAGAGCTATAAATGAAAATTCGGGCAGCAAGTATGCATGTAATGCTTCCTTTCCCTCTAGAAAATATGTAATTAACAAGTATTTTGCATTTCTTTACTTGGCCATTCACATTATGCAGTGCAGCTTGAGTGAACCAAGTTTTTTTGTGAGACTGCATGTTCAATGGCCCTTTCAAATCTAATTTGTGTTAAGATATTTAACATAACTATTAAGTGACACCATTTCTAACCTGATATTTTTCAAGATCATGTGAGTCACAGAAATGTTTACAGACCAGTGCATTGCTTTAAATAGGAATAATTGTTGCAGATAGTGGTGATCTCTCACATCTTCCACTTTCTTGTAAAATGTATCTAATTCTTTGTAACTTACAGATTTGTACATCTCTTGAAAAGGGATTCATAAAAGAGGAATATAGAATATTTTAATGTTAATAGCATTGATTTTTCTTCCTTAGACAATAGTTTGGCATGCAGTTCTTTGATAGACCTGTTTTTCTGCACCCTGGTTGTTGTAAGAATGGTTTAGCGGTCTGATGCCAAACGGATTTTCTGAATGTTTTTCACATCATGTGTAATTCACACTTAAGACATTTTCATATAGCAGGCATACTGTTTAAAAAGAAGAATTTTCATCCCCACATTTTTCATGCATATCTACATGCTTCTTAAAAATCTACTCATGGGCCAGTTTATACTCATGTGAGTTGGGTTTTCTTTCGTTTGAATCATGAGCTGATTCCATAACTCAACCTCTACATTTAAAATCAAATAACGTGAACTGATTGCAGGTCTGGTTTTGTTTTTAAATAAGTAAAGGTTTGGTTGATTATAGTGAACAGGAGGGACTAGATAAAAGAATTCTCCTGTGGGGGTAAGACAATGTGAAACATGCCAACTTGAGTAAAATGAAAAGGCTTTGCTCTGTGTCAGTAATGGATTGCATCCTTCTGATGTTGGGATTTACCTCCGCCTGTTTTCTGATACCAGAATGTGCAGCTCAGGGAAAAGGCAGTTTAAGGATGAGAAGCTTGAGAATGTGGTTTGGGGGTTTTTTTTGTTTGTTTTTCTTTGCTCTGAGGTGGATACAAAGCTCAACGAAGAATATCAGATAGTGATTAATGCACTTTGTGGGTGGAAGATGAGTCTCTTTGTATCACTTTGCTGTAGAACTACCATCTGGAAAGCTGTCATGTACATGTAGCATGATAACACTGACTTTTGAACAGTCTAGATCTCTCAGTTATGGGTTTGTTATCCTTATTTCCAGATACCAACTGCTCCGCCAAGTTACACTGGACGACACCTCTGGTGAAAGGCTGTAGGCTGTAGAGAGTAAGAATCCTTGTTGCAGATGTTGTTCCCTGGCAGTGTGTCTTTGAGGGAAGGAATCCATAACAGTACCAGAACAAAGCAACAAAACATCCAGGATCTTCCAAAATCCTACAGAGGATTTTGTCTAAATGTGAACACCATTGAACTGAGAATTGCAAAAACAAAATTGTAAAACTGAAGCTGAATCTAACTTAAAATTGAAGTAGGCACACCTTAAATTGGAAGAGGGGATATTGTATTCTGCAATGTAAGATATTCTCGTCTGTAACTTGTGTGCCGGGCAAGCCTGTTTTTGGTGGTTGCCAGTTGCTTGCAAAATACCCTCCTCTCACCTAAACTTAATTCATGTTGCCACAAGAGATTGCCACGCAGGACTTCTTTCCATTTTGCTCCTTTTCCCTTCATTTCAAACGTCATGAGAAGTACCTTGTTTGCTCATTCTGTAGCTGTACTGTGCAGTCACGTAGCATCATGTGTAGTCAAGCATCGTCACTCCGTGGCAACTCAATTCCCATTACGCCGTAGGCTGATACACTGCTCTTCAACAAGCTGGTCTAGGAGGTGCAGTTCTGGAGGGATGAAAGGTCTAGGCATGTTTCACGTGAGTTATGGAGCTTCTTGAGGCAGAGAGGGAAAGTGCAAGGTCCAGCGCAGAGGCAGCCATCCTCGGCCTCGCGGGATGGATTCCGTGTTGTTCCGGCCTCAGCCCCGGTGGCGAGCAAAGAGCTGCGCTCCCACATCTCCTGCGGGCGAAGCCGCTCAGTGAGACCTTGCAGGGATGTCCTTTGGCAAAGGCTTAGCTGGGAGGGGACGTGAGGGGCGTTTGCAGCAGCAGGTGGTTGTGCTGTTGGCTGAAAGGCAGCGCTGCTGCCCTGCCCACCCTCGGGCCGGGCTGATGGCCAGGCGGGAGCGGGGGCAGCCGGGGAGCATTGCCCACCCCTGGGAGACACTCAGCAGCAGAGTAGGGTCGAGACCTCCCTTTCCAGTCCCTGTTCGTATGAGTAGTCCCCTTGACTGCAGTTGTTTGTGCATTTAAATGTGGTTGTGCATTTTAGTGCCTAGAGAGTAGAATCTCCGTGCTGGAGGTGGTTTGTTGTTGTTTTTGTTTATTTAAGGTGGTTTCTTCCCAACTCCTCCCCTCCCCATCCATTTTCTTGAGTTGATATAAGGCAGACTTTCTCAAACCTTTTTATCTTTGTTTTCTCCAGGTTATTTAAAAGGTTCCCATCGCCCATTTTTTGTGCCATGGTTTTTCATTATGTTGAAGCAATCATTCCTTTCTTTAACATTTAATACATATCGGACATTGAAAACATCATTGTATCCTCACTGTTTGGCCAATGTTAATCTTAGCTTTCCTCGATACTAAAAGCTAATTGTTTTTACTTGAAGGCATAGGAAACATATAACAATTAAACTTTGCATATGCTGTAATAAAAATATATATTTTCAAACTAAAAAAAAAAAAAGAAATAAAATGTACAAATAACTGAATAGCTTAGTAGCTTCACAGAGAGAAGTTACTTGCTGTGTACTGCAAAAGAAAGACAAGCTTTTTATTTTTCAAGAGTCTTCCTGATTCTTCATGTACCTCCATTTCTACTGAATTAGGAACCTAGTCCTGCAGACTTGTACTCCCACGAGTAGTCCCATCGGCACCAGTAGGTCTACATACAGGTACAGAGGCTGCAAGACCAGTCCCTAAGTGTTGCACACAGATATATGTATATATATATATGGAAAAATATATATTGCCATTCTTGCCATGATCATCTTATGGGGTTTTATTTCAAAGCCCTTCTCCTCCAGAAGCAATGTTTTCCTGTCATGCATGAGTGAAGGAGTACATTTGCTCCCCCCTGCCCTTCCCTCCTCGAGGCAAAGGAAGCATGTGCTTGTTTTAGGGATCCTTTATTTCATTTGGTATGTAACTAGATGGCCTTAGTAACCAAGTAGGGTAGGGGTGGATATTGCATGCTATCCAGCGACTTAGAAATACATTTTGCTTGTTTTAGGCAGAGCTTTGATCAAATAAGACTATTTGAGATAATGATAGCTACCCATTATTATGCTTAATTTGGAAAAATAAAAATAAAAAAATTACCCATCACTAGCCTGCAGAATTTTGCTTTTAAAAACCAATTAAAAAAATCCCTCATAAAACTCTGTCATAAAAACATATAAGATGACCATGGCACAAATGGTAGGACAGCTTTCTTTTTAAAAATTTATCATGCTACAACCAAGACTTAAGAAGTATAATACACATTTTACAGACCTTGGACAAAATCTGTACAAGATATAGTTATCTTAAGGAACTTTTTTTTTCTTTTTCTAGATGTGACTGAATTGATAAATAGAGTTCCCAATCCTGCTTCTGATGAAGTTGTTTGGAATTTGAGGCCTTAAGCAAAGATAAGGCCAGATCCTACAAACTGCTCCTCACATGACTAGTCTCACTGGGTTAGTCATGTGGACTATTCACAAAACTAAAAATTAGCAGGATTGGGTATAACGTGTGGTGGTGAAAGTGTGGCAATAGATTAGGAGGGTCTTTATTTTCCAACTTTATACAATTAGTAATAAGCAACTTTTTTTTTTTTTGTAAACTAGTCTGTGATGTAAAACGCCCCAAATAAAACTGTAATTGAAGAAAGGCACCTTTATGTTAACTTATATTTTTGTTACAGTATTTACTTTTGCCTTTTTTGAAAGTTTTCTAGAATGTAGAGCATCTGTGAACAACATAATAAGTAAGTAAGCACAAGCCTTTCGCAGTTCTCCTAATTATAATTAGCTTTTATACTATAAAAGCTACTGTGTTGTCCCTTGATGGTTATGTGCTCATGGTGTTTCCATGCAGAAAAATGAAATCACAAAGCATCTGAAAAAACTATTACCAAAACCAAGATTTATAATGACTGGCTTTTGATCAATGGCTGGAAAAGAGTTCAAAGCCATTCTTTACAGATCCTGTCCTGCTTTCAGATGAGTTGAGGGTGTTTGACGCTTGCCAGAAAATATGTAGCATCTTCAGAACACTCTCAAGACATACAACTGTTTATATAAACAAGGTACATGACTACTATAGAACGAGCTGTTTCAGCTTTTAATCTAAACACAGGCATCTTGGTTGGCTTTGTTTGAGCTCGATGCCTTGGATTTAACCAAAGGCCATACAAAAGGGAGCATTGTAGCTTTTATAATAAAACAATTGGACTATTCTACCAACTTACAGGATTGCAAAGCAGGTGCTTTTTATTAATTGATGAGAGCTAAAGCTCATTTTTGATAGATAATATATATTTATTAAATGTATTAACGTGTGTTTTATAACGTACCCTTTTTTCCGCTGATTGTTGCATACTGGTATCTTATTAAGTACATCTTTAAAGGATTTTCAAGACAATCAATGTGTACCATGATGACTGTACATAAGTATACAAAACTACAAAGGTTGTAAAGCATGGGCAAATGTTTTATTTTCAAAATGCTGTTCTTAACGAGAATAAAGGCTTTACTATTTACTTACAATGTTTGTGTTAAGTCGCTCTTAAAATCCACCTGAAGATTTTCCATTCCAGTGAACTAACGGTGCTACAGACGGCATTGTCCTTTGGGGCAGTTCTTCAGTGTAAGCTCAGGTAAACTGAAGGAAACAGGCTTCTAGAGGCCACATTCCTCCACCTTTGGCCACATTCCCGTGCTTACCCTTAGCTCTGGCACCTATCAAACCCACAGTGAGCCAGTCAAAGAGATGAACAGCCAAACTCTTAACAGACTAGTGATTTTTTTTTTTTTTTTTCCAGTTGGCTCAGCAGCTTCCTATCCTGCCTCAATTGCTCATGCTTGGGAAAAGGAAGGGATAGGATCATACAGCTGGGGTTGGAGATGGCTTTTTCTTCAAATGGTTTGATTTCCCAGATCTGGTGCAAGAACTGTCACCACTCAGGAAAAAAAAAACGAGGAGTGGGTACTGGTATAACAGTGAAGACAAAGTCTGTGTAAGTGATGGAAGAAATCCATATGGAGCCACAGCAAGTGCTCTTATCCATGTTCTATCATGTGTTTGTTTGAAACAACTAGATCTTTGACTTATATCAAAGTAGTAGAAGAACTGCAAATATCAATTGTAAAATTGTAAAGGCTTAAATAAGACTATGCTCAAAGGACTAAGTTAAAAAAATGATGAGAGCTCCTTAGCAGAGGGCCCAGTCTGAGTTTTACTGGACCTAATACAGGTAAGTACCATGTGTAAGATTTGTGAAAATGCTGTCACTGGGATCTTAATTCTACACTTTCTCAGTTCATGTGCTAAGTGGTAAAAAAACGGTCTTTGGCTTTTTTCCCCTTCAGAAATGCAGAGCAACCCCAGCTCTCATTGCCTTCCACTGGAATTGCAGGGACAGTGTTTCTGCAAATCAGACCATTCTGAACTGGGCCTGGGTTTGTGTCAACTGTCACAGCTCTGCACCAGGCAGTGAAGTCCAGTTTATGCCAAATGAAGATGTTTGCCTTAGCTTTAACACTTGCCTACGTGTGGGTGTAATCCCATTTATTTAATCCAGAGTTTTGTTCCTGTCAGGAAAGGTTTTAAGTGAGCATTCAGGAAAACAAGATAAACACAGACTCAACGTTTTTGGCTAAACGTGCCCAAAACCATCTGTTTTAACAGAATTGTGTTCACTTAGACTGGGACTGAATTTTGTCTTGGCATGCTAGATCCTTATATAATCTCCCTTTGATTTACAATGTGAAAGTAAAACTACAGTGCTAAGAGAGTTTCTAAATCAGTATCACACAGTTTAGTCCATGAGCTTTGTGTTTTGCAATGTTAGTGAGGGAACTAAAGTTGACATATTGGATGATTTGGGGTATGTTCTTCCAAGTCTTCCAAGGTTCTTCCCACTGCAACCATAGAAAAAAAAAAATCATCAACAGGCATAGAAATAAAAAAGTAAACATCCATACTTCCACAGCAAATACTCTGTTGTTCAATAAATAAACAAAAATCCCCCACTCAACCCAAAAAGCTTATTTCTTCTTTGCATGGCGCTTTTTTTTTGTTTTGACACAGCTTCAGCACTGGGATACTTGCACGTAGTTCTCCGTGCCAGCTGTGGGAGTTGTGCATCTGAAGCTGAGGGCAGAGCTGTTTGCTAGTAAGAAGTCACTGGATTCTTCAAAAAAAAAAGAATGAAAGCAGCTCTTTGAGGTTTTTTGCTTTGAAGAATTTTCAATTAAAAGTCAGGGATGAAGTCATACAGTTCACCTAGTATATAAATATATTTTTGTCATTTAGGACAACAAGCAAGGTCAATAAAGAATAGTTTTTCTATGTCTCAGTGGAAAGAAGAATGTTATCCATGTGATTGCAAAGGCTCTGCCAAATGGGAAAAAATCAGTCAAACAAAGAGCACAGGGTTGCTTGCTGGAGTAAACAATTCTAAATGAACAAAAGCTCTACATAAAAGTAAAATGTCCCACCCCCTAGTGAAAGCTGTTTTCAAAGCTCTGTATTCTTTCGGAGTGCTGTAATACAGATTAACCTAATGTTTTTCTTCTGCTGATACAACAGTCTGGTTCCTCATTCTACTCCTGTGATTTCAGCTATCGTTTTCTGGTTTTAATATTTTAGAATTTTACAAACTGCCTTCTAACTTAAAAAATCTGTTTTTCTACTCCCTGCTCTTCAGAAGATGTATGTGTACTATACACCTTTCACATCAAATTTATGGGGAGATTTATAGGTAAAAGTTATGCTAGAGGCAAAGAACCCCAAATAAGCCCAAAAAATCCCCTTTTGTACACACAGTTTCAGGAGGGCTTAGTTACCCTACCAAGGCATGCAGCTGAAAACCAGCAAACAAAATCGTCTTGGTAAATACCCAGAGTACTGAGATGCAACAGGCCCATGTGTTAACTTTAGGTGCTCAGTGTGCTACCAACCTGGAAGGTCTCAGGTCACAGAAAACAAGAGAAGTGATGTATGAGGAGGAAAGAAACCCCAAATATGACTGCAGTGGCAGGATACACCTCATGTCCTACAATGTTCAAGGCAATACATGCCCAGTGCCTTCCTGGCACAAGACCCTTCTGGATTTTAGGGCTTCTGCTTGTACAGCTGGTGAGGGGAAAAATCAAGAGTGGATTCAATACCCCATAGGACTATGGATATCCTATATACAAAGTACTGTCTAGTGCATTGAATTTTTTCTAATATTCCTTGATGTGATGAGGCTGGCCTTTGCAAATATTTCATAAACATTGCAACATATTCAAAAACCTCGGGGCTCACACACACACTTTTCCATTAAAGCAAGGAGGTGTTTTAGGTTTCTGCTAGCAGTGGTTTTAGTCAGGAGTGTCCATGTCTTATCATAACCTGTGTTACTTAAGCATAACAATTTCAAATCACATCACACTAACCAGGAAGCACAGGTTGTCAGCAGGAATATGAATTTCAAGCAGTTATTTAAATAGTTCCTGACATATACTTGCTTCCTATGCAGATAGAAAACTAAGATGTCCTCAGGATTCAGATAAGCTGGAAAGATGGGAAAAGAAGTGCCTGGCTAAGTATTTTCACTAGAAATTTCCATTGGAAAAATGTATTTTTCAGGATGTGACACATCAAACTGAACTAACTTGCTTAAAATACTTTGAAATGCCTAAGGAAGATGTTCAGAACAAGTTCCACTAGCTGATAATCCAGGCCAATTCTTTCAGACAACACATATTTAAAAGCAATGACCAGTGTAAATGTCAACACCAACAACCAGGCTTACAACCATGCCATTCCTGTGCTGAATTTTAACCATTTCAGTCTTAGGAGTCCTGTAATTCCTTCAACAGAGCGAGACAAAGACCAATTTCTATTTTCAGTTGCATTTAAAAAAGTAATAAAAGTCAAAGTTTAGCAGCATCATTCCCACATTATCCCTTTATGTCCCCTGTCACTGCGTGCAGTTATGCTGGCAAATCCCTACCCGTGCAGAACTCAGATTCCAATGCAAAGGAGAACATTTCTTTTTCTTCACTGAGATTTCCTGCATGCTGGGAAAAGGCTATGGACATAACCGGGCAGAACAAACTTCGGAGGATGCCACAGGATTGCAACTGTGCACTGCTGCCAGTCTGGGGGCAATGCCAAGAAAACTGTTCTCACAGGAGGCTGGATTCAGCTCCCAGGGAAATGACAAACACCTTAAATCCCAAGATGTTTGTGTAACTGAATGTGTGAAAACTATCTACAGAGAATACATAATCACTGGTTTAAAGAGGTGTAACATTAAAGTAGAAGTAACACGCTCATGCTCACTGGCAGTGTGCTCACAGTATTTCATATGGTTTTAAAACATTAGCTCCTGTTTTCAGTCCTAAGACACAGAGGAACTGAGGCCCTTAAGTGTTGTTACAGTGTATGTTACCAAAAAAAAAAATCTCACATCTTACTTATTTCTAGTATTAAGGCTTTTACCTGTATAGGTCATGTGGTTTTGTTGGCACTATGTTTCAGTCTCCTTACTCATTACTCTTATTTTTAATAGTGAACAAACCTGACTAAACTATCCTTTAGTCACATGGATGTTCTAAATCATAGGACACTATAGCCACCACTGCAATAATAAGCACTAGTGGGGACTAATTTCCTTGGAAATGAGGTGGGGGTTGCTCTTGAGGAGCACAACTGTTAACTGTTATTTTTGACTTGCTGCTCCTGCTAACAGTAAGGTCATCTACTCCTTGGTCTGCCTCGTTCCTCGGAGGTGCAGCTCGTTTGCCATAGTTTATCAGGTATGTGTTGCAGGGTTGAGGCACAGATGATGGCTAAAGGAAGCACTGGAATGTATCTGGATTTACTGTTCACTTGCTCCTGGGAGTGGAATATTCAAAAATCTGCAGAACTCCTATTAGCTGTCTGAGGACTGGCCTTTGTCCTATTTATATATGCATTAAGCTCAAACATCTTTACCATCTATTTTGGATAGCAGGCACTATTTTCCCTCATCTCAATGTACAGGACTGATGTTCTGGTTTGACACTTGGTTGTTTCAGCATAACTGTGAAAAAACTATGACCTACTTTATACACTACTATATAACACAACTGGCTTGTGACAGCAGCTTATGAAAGGTTTATACCCCCCCAGTCTTTACAGAGAGTGCTTCTTCATGGAACTCTTACGAATTACATTTAGTAATTTAAACAGCTGAACACAGTAATGAAAGATTCTATAGACTTGGACTATAAGAAGATGAAAATCCATTAAAGAAAATCTATTGGAATAACTTATTAGCAGGGGCTTAGAGTAAAATATATATATAGAAAGGAGTTTCGCCCTAGCCTCCCAATGAAATGCCAAAGAAGCCTGAACATGAAATTGGAGCCACCAGCAATCTTTCTGAAATAAGACCTGACTTTTAAAGGCACAGTTTTTTATAAAGGGTTTATAATTTTAGCCTCTTACAATTGGGAGTCTGCCCGTACACAACTACTAGTGAAACCTTTCGCTTCAGGAAATATTCAGTCAC